TTATGATGAAGTGTGATTTGTCCCTGTATTATCATTACCAACTATTAAATTATGAGATTTTTGAGAGCAGAGATCACATCTTACTCATTTGTATATATCCAGTTCTCACTAAGAAAGATTGAGTTTGCAGGCTGCTGAGTCAATGCGGTCTTATTCAATACTCCCTACAGAAAGCACATAGCCATCACCATTTATCAGCTACTGGGTAATCTTGGGCAAGTTGCATAGCTTCTCTGAGCCTCAGTAGCCTCATCTATAAAATAGGGATAGTAATTTCTTCTCAATGGGTTATGAGAAACTGATGAGAAATGTGTATATACACATGACAGGCCTTTAGTAAACACATATCCTTTTTTAGATATAATCACCATTTTGTGGGACACACAGATAAGATTATAAAAGATACAATTAGTGCAAATATCTAAAAACAAAAGGCCAATTATTATAAAATTTATTTATTTATTTATTTATTTTTTCAGTTTTTGGCCAGGGCCAGGTTTAAACCTGCCACCTCCAGAATATGGGGCCAGCACCCTACTCCTTGAGCCACATGGCCTAAAATTTATTTTTTTTAATGAGACATACTTCATTTAACAGTTACTAATAGGACCGTATGGAATCATGAAATTTTCACTAAATAACCATGATCTTGTCATTTTGATTAGAAAGCTCTGAAGATCTTGCTTTGTTTGTTTATTGGGGATAATTTAATTTTTGGCAATAAAAAATGGAAAAAGAAAAGTGGAAAAAGAAAAACGAGGGTGGGGGAGAGGGAATAAAAAGAAAAAGCAGAAGTGAAGAACGGGGGAAATAATTGGCTTCCTGACAGGTCTCTGCTAACATCTAGTTCCCTAAGGACTCAATTTGTTTCTTCTAGGGAGAAAAGGTAATTCAGTCCATAATTATCCTGTCCCTTGAATCTTTCCGAACTGAAGTGAACACTGAGGAAGAGACCACAGTCTAATTCAAGCTCAGAGCCCTAGGCTCACAGCGTATCTCCAGGGTCCACAGGGAGCCCAGCTAGCAGGGGGTGTGAGTGTGAGTGGAACGAAGGCGGAGGAGTTCTGTCAAGATTTCCAACCCAACAGCCAGGCCCTCCCCAGCTTGCTCCAAACCGATTCCAAAAGGAGCCTTATGGCCTCATTGGTGAACATACAAAGCAAAAGGCAACAAAACAAACACATCAACCCCTTCCCTTCGGAGGGCTCGTAAACCACTCACATCTGTTCTCATCATCTCTGTAGGTTGCAATTTCCTGAAAACAGAGTGCGTTTGTTTTCTTAAATGTTGTAGCTTGTCAATCATAAGAGATGATCCTGAGACTATTAAACTGAGCTCCATTAGAATTGACACGCTTTTATAGAACATCACTGCCTCAAAGCAGGATAAATGGGGCTCAAGATGAGCATTCACTCTCCTTTGTTTTAAGATCCAGATCTCCAAAGCAGAAGCACAGGGATAGCAACAATACCGGATTCTGTAGACCTCGTGGTTTGACTCTTGGTTTTGCTATGTTCTAGCTACTGCCTCAGTTTCCTTATCTGTCCCAGGAATATAATAATAGCACCTTCCTTAAAGGCTGCTGTAGAGATTAAATGAGATGATGCACATGAAATAAGTTTTCAATAAATACAGCATATGCTAGTATGATAATTGTTAATATGGTTGGCTGTTTTGGATTTCTGCAAAAGACATCTCCCTATCTACAAAGAAACACCTGGGGCAAATCATTCTTTTGCTCAAACTAGCACATTTCTGGGAATAATACAGGACTTAAGCAATAAATTGTCGACTAAAACAAAGCCATTCAGAGGATGAATTATTCCAGACTTGCCTTGCCTGGAGTGGCCCTAAAATGTTCTCTTGTGCCCAAAGTTTATTACAGAGCATCAATCAGAATCTGACTGAGTGTACGCCAAAGCACCAGGGCTGTTAAATCTCCAATCCTCCCACTTGCAACCTCAGAAGCTTCTCAACTCTATGCTTGGGGCAGCCAGCACCAATCAACTGAGGTTGGCAAGGATATTAAAAAAATCCCATTTGTCCTTCACAGCATGAAATACGACAATTTTCAAAGAAGGGAAGTAATCCCTTTTGCAACGGTGGTACTGAGGAGAGTAACAGCATCTGCCTTATGGACAAATGTTATCATACCAACATTTACTTCTGTATAGACTCAGGAGGCAAACTGTGAGAGAAGAAACTGCTATTACAGTCAAAATATTATCTAAAAATTGGTGAAATACTGGAGTGAGGGAGTTTTGCATTTTAGTTTTTCCAGAATGTCACCAGGGTATCAGTCTTTATACAGAAGCATTAACTCTACACAGTAGATTAGTAGCTCAAGGCATAGTTTCCATATGACTGTACCAATATGCCAGGAATAAATAATAGTAATAATAATGATAATAATTCCTTCATCCCTTAGGGCTTCTAGAGCTAAGCCGGGTGCTTGGGGCAATTTTATCCTTGGCCCTGAGTAGGCTCTTCCTAATATATCAGTATATTGTGCATATATTTTCATTTTTTATGAGTGCCATGACCTGAAAGAGTTTGGGCATCACTGGTTTAATAAATGAATATGTTTTTCAAAGTCTGCTCATTTGTCATCTATGGCAAAGCTTGTGCCCTGGATGGCTTACCCTGATCATGGTTAGTGACACTAACAGGTTCTAGAAAAACCAGATAGAGATCTTTGATCTGAGAGCTCAAACTTGTAACCAGAAGTCTTTTAGGGTTAGCGTGACAGAGACACATGGAGGATAGTGCAAACAGTGAGAACATTTCATAAGGTCCATCAAGGAGGCAGAGGCAAGAATCCTACAGGAATAAGGACTGGGCCCATTCAGACATAGGACATGGAAACCCACAGCTTGAGAGGCCTCAGCCCTAGAAAAGCCTGAGTCTTTATCCTGATACTCCATTAACAGCATGGCTTGGCTACATTCTGTCTTTGCTGATCTCCAGGGCATTGTCTGGCATCCTCCTCTTGGTTTCTGCACCCTCTATTCTGTATCTTCACCACTAGTTCTTTTCTTCTGCCTATTTCTAGGATCTGTTTCTCATAACTTCAGCCTCTTCATAATTATTGCTGGTCCCTTCTTCTACCTGATGGTCAATTTCAATCTTTCTTTCTCTTCTTCCTTCCCTCCTGCCCATCTTTCACTGTCAGTTCCTGCTGCCAAACCCCTATCTCCCTTCATAGTTCCCTATCTACATTCTTGAGAATAACAATCTTGGTGGCCCTACAGGTCCCTGTCTGGGCAGAACCCCAGGCCTTCCACCAGGCCACTCATAGACTTGTTTTTTTTTTTTTTTTGAGACAGAGCCTCAAGCTGTCCCCCTGGGCAGAGTGCCATGGCATTACAGCTCACAGCAACCTCCAATTCCAGGGCTCAAGCGAGTCTCCTGCCTCCGCCTCCCAAGTAGCTGGGACCAAAGGCGCCCGCCACAACGCCCGGCTATTTTTTGGTTGCAGCCGTCATTGTTGCTTGGCGGGTCCGGGCTGGGGATTCGAACCCGCCACCTTAGGTGTACGTGGCTGGCGCCTTAGCCGGTTGAGCTATAGGCGCCGAGCCCACTCATAGACTTGTGATTCGCCAGATGTTGGGTCAAGAGGGGAAAGAGGGGCTGAAATCACAGGGTTTCCAAACATATTTCTTCAATACAGCTGTAGGAAAGAACACACATTTCTAGAATAAGCCTCCTTAAGAGAACATGGTTTTGTATTTCCACTTATCAAAAGAAGACCACTTAAATGCATTCATTATATTGTAAATAAATCCTTTTTTAAATTTCCTTCTTTTTCCACTCTTTTCTCTTTTTTCTTCTTTTTGTCTATCCATTTTTTCCATCCATCCATTCATCTATCCATCAAATACTCAATGAAGCCCTCTGTCTTCAGAAGAAATACACCAGGTCTCTAATGACCATAATGGTCCCTGAGGACCTTAAACCTACTAGGGGAGATAAGTTGTGTATGCAAATAATTATAGGTCCCATAAGAATGACATAAACCAAGCACTAGGTGAGAAGCTCAAAGGAAGACGACGTCTTCTGGCTGGAACAGATGACATTTCAGGTAGTGTCTAAAGGGTGGAGAAGATTCTAATAGTCATAGAAGACATAACAAATAAGATAAGCCTAAGCCTGAAGTTAGCAGAGTTTTGTAGCATCAAAATTCAGATTCTGGCATTTTAAGTTATAGGAGAAATATATATTTCAAACCAAACTGAAAATATATAGCATAAAGTCTGCCTCACATCACTATTCACTTCTTCTTCTGTGGATCCTCCTCTCCGAAAGTAACTGCCATTAATTTTTCATTATGAATTTTTCCAGATATTTTTCTATACCATTCAATTAAACCTTTATAATTATTTATGTATCTGTTATTAAACCCACTTAACACAAAGTGGTGGGTTAAGGAATTTGCCAAACGTTACACAGCCTAGTAAGTAAAGGGGTTGAGATTTCAATCAAGTCCTGTTGCTTCCGAAGATCTGAATGCTTCCAGCACTTTCCATCACACCTGATAAGAATATTAGCTTGAGCTGTTATCCAAAGACTCAATTCAGTCCTGTGAGTAGACTCTTGTTTATAGGAATCATCTTTCCTCCGAGTTGGAAGAAAGCCAAAAGTGGGTACTCACACATCAGCCACTCCCAATAGAAAGTCCTATTTATACTGAGATGGGCACTTGGTTTTCCTGACTTTTTGTTGTACTATGAACTTTATTTTTGTCTCTTACAGAAGATAAATGTTACTCTAATAATGCAGTGCTGATGAAATTGTTGAAGGTTTAAGAAAAGTCAGTCGTGTTTCTCTTCTACAGTATTGCTTAAAATAAACCAATGAATTATTTACCAAATCGTTGCTAGTAGAACAGCCAATTCAGTTTGCTCAAGCTTCTTCCATTCACATCCAAAGTGAGAGTTCTAAAGGCACAGGTCACAGAGCATAGGAAGGGAACTCAAGGTTTACGGTTGTAGAGCACTTACCCCAGACGGCCATGAAAACAGCAAAGAAGACAGTGGCTCCATTGTCAAAAAGGTGGGTTACCTGGGAATAACAAGAATCAGTGTGGAGCTAATGTCACATACATGGTATTCCAATTCAAACTTTGTTCAAGTTCAGTAAAAATAGTTGTAATTACATGGTAAATTTTATAGGGTTTCTTTGGGGGGTGGGTTATTCCTTTTGGATCACAAGTAAGAAGCGGGTTATCCTAATTGTGAAGTAGTTCAGATACGGGAGACAGAGTTTGTTCCCTTTAAGTGGCTATCATCTAGTTGAACGTTTATCAGCAGTCCCAATAGTGCTCCTAAGGATTCTCTCTTGTACACTACAGAAACTCTTACACGTGTACCTATGTATATGGATATAGTTATATTTAGAACCAGGAAGGCATCCTTATTGCCACTTGAAAGGTTTCCAACTTCCTAAGCACTGTTTTTAATGCCTCATTTGTTTGCCTTGAAAATAGGGCTGTTTTGTTTGTGTAGTTTTGAGCAAACATTTTCTGGGCTGCTCTCTGGATTTCAGTCTTATTAGAAAAAAATAAAAAAGAGCAGAACCATTAAGCAAATCCACTTCTACCTTTATTAAAGCCTCAGGCGAGCCCTATATTTACCTACTGCACATAACACAAAGACAGCTAGCAATACTTTATTGCTAGAATAATATATTCTATTGCAGATACCACAGCAGAAAGTGAAAATCTCCGTTCTTACTGCCAGGCTCATTTCCGTCTCCAGGATAAATCATGCCAATGACCCTGACAAACTGAAATGATGACTGATAGGTTCATAAAGTGTAACCTTTCTTTTCTTTTTTTTTTTTTTGGTATTTTATAGCTCCCTATAAAGTATACTGTCCCTTGGAGAATGCACCAAAGTATAAACAAAGTTTTTTCCTGTTTTATCCTAGTGTGAAGTATTTCAGATTATTTCCAAAGTTTATGCCATCTCTTTCTTTGTACGTAAGAACAATGGGCAGCCTTCAAACACCTACTGTGAGCTGAACGTCTGAAGCCTGTCTATTACTATTTCCTGGGTCAGAGGGAGTGTTAAGCTGTACACTGGGCACTTGGTATCAAATCAAGCTTGATCGTTCCAGTGGTACGTGGTTGGTCTGTGCTCTTTATCAGGGTATTTGCTGGGAGTTGGGGGAAGGCTTAGCTTGCACTAGCAGTGTCCATTCTGGAATGACTGTGGTGGTCCAGATCATCTTTTCTCTGTGCCCAAGGGACACATAATTCAATAGAGAATCAATCAGAGTACTTTCCTGGGAGAAGACACGTGAACATTTGCAGAGAGAGTTTTCTGTGGCAGTTATCAATTTGAGAATAAGTGAATCAGGAGGGCCTGGGTGATAGGGAATTCTGGCTCCTTATAAGATAGTGGGTTATCTTGGGATAATGGCACCCTTTGCCACAACCAATCCTGGAGAAGCAAGATAGTAGATTTCAGCAACTAACACTACACAAAGACAACAAAAAACAAAGACCCTGAGAAAGCCCCGGGGAAGACAGAGGTTGCCTTGAACTGGTGTGTCTGTGTTTATGTGGAGAGGTAGGTGGCAGATTTCAAATCAGGATAGATGGATAGTAAGTCCTACTCCAGTTTCTCTTTCTCAGGATCACGGGACAATGAGCTCCCACCCCCCAGAAACCATGTACAACAGCCCACACCACAGGTGCTGGTATTCTTGGAGTGACAATGGAGATGCCCAAAGTCATTCTTGGTTGAGACTTTGGTGAAATTAGGAGCTGTCCTGGGGCATTCACTCCTCTGTCCATTTCCTCTTAAACTCCAAGGCTAGTATGGTACAGTCAAAGGAGAGGTCCTCCTCCCCACTCTGTTTTGTTCTAAGCAGGTTTAAACATACAACTCTGCCCATAAAATCCTCTGGCAGAGTGGTAGCCCACCGTGGTGCCTGGGCACACTGTCCTCCCCTCTCTGTACCTCACTAGGATGACAGGCTTGAGATTAGCCTCTGACCCTTACTCAAAGTGGTTGACACCTGCAGGGACCAGGCACCCATAGGCCCAAATAATGGAACATATGTGGAAGAAAACAACACTCCCGCCCCCAACTAAAAATCCTCAATTAGGCAATGTATACCTTCTGAAACAGATATTCTGTGATAGCAGATCAAAAATTTAAAATGTCAGGTAGCACCTGTGGCTCAAAGGAGTAGGGTGCCCGCCCCATATGCTGGAGGTGGCAGGTTCAAACCCAGCCCCCTCCAAAAACTGCAGAAAACAAAACAAACACACAAAAATTTAAAATGTCCACAAAAAAATATGCTTAAGGAGATAAAGGAAGGAAGACACGATTCTGGGGCCCAGGCAGCCAGCTGGCACTTCCCCGCTCTGCTTGACGAGACCTATCTGCAGAGTAACCACAGGGCCAGTCCTGGCGGGCAGTCCTAGTCTGTGAGTCCTTTTTACTCATGTAGCGTGAGCTGCCCTGGTATCTATTCTAGAAAAATGTTCCATTTAGTCAGTCTCTTCCCACCTAAGCCAGTTGGAGTTGGGTTTCTAATTCTTACAAATACAAGTGTTAAGGATAAAACAACGTCAATCAACAGAATGGCTACTGATTTGACTAAGCCTGGGCTCCAACTGGATCCAATATTCTTGTGTGCCCGTAATCCCTTGAAATCACTCTGCCATTTCTAATATCTCTAAGAGAAACCCTCTATGACTCCAATTCTGTCATTATGTGGCCTTTTTTTACCTTCATTTAACTAAGTTTCTAGGCAAGAGCAAGTGTTACGAATAAATTCAGAACCTGAACATCTAGTGGCTCAGTATGGCACAGTGGTAAAGAAGACATATTTTACAGTCCAGTAAACCAAAGCCCAGCTACTCACTGCCGTGTGAGCACAGGTGAGTAATGTTTACCTCTCTGAGTCTCTGAGTAAAATGGGAATAGTAACACTTACCTTGAAGTTGCTGTGAGAATTAGACATAATAAAGGTTGCCAAGCTATTATTATATTTATAATTATCATAACTACCATTGTTCTAGATCTTACATTACAGAGGATAACTGCCAAAATAAAATCTGAGCACTCTAAACTATTTATGATGATCCATCTAAAGAATTAGTAAGGATCTCCTAAAAGGAAAGCTTCATTCAGGTATATTTTCATTCATCAAAAAAAAAAAAAACCCAATAAAACATATACATAGGGCCAGGTCTGGTGCCTCACACCTATAATCCCAGCACTCTGGGAGGCCAAGGTGGGTACATTGCTTGAGCTCACAAGTTTGAGACTGGTCTGAGCAAGAGCGAGACCCCGTGTCTAACAAAAAAAGCAGCCAGTGTTGTGATGGGCACCTGTAGTCCCAGCTACTCGGGAGGCTGAGGCAAGAGGATCACTTAAGCCCAAGAGTTTGAGGTTGCTGTGAGCTATGATGCCATGGCACTGTACCCAGGGCAACAGAAGGAAAAAGAAAAAAAATACAGAAACACATACATATACACACAAACAAAAAACAACTTGACTGCTGCTTTTGGGATTCCCTCAAAGCAGAATTTTTAAATTCCTTAGACATTTTAAAATTCCTTAGCCATTCAGGCTTATTACATGACCTTTAAACTAAATTATGTCTCTCTTGATCCTTACCAAATCTCTACTTTCTAAGGTCACTCTGTTAAACGTGTCCCTATCTACTCAGGTCTACCTGTGTGATCTCCAAAGATAGGGAGAGCATTTTGTGATTTCTTTGGTCCCTTGCAACATACACTAAGAGCTGAACCACAGCTGTGGTTTGGGCTCCTCCCACACAGACTGGCCAGGCACCTGCAGTGCTAAGACATCGTAGACAGGGCAGATCCTGGGTGGCCTATCAAATGTTCTCTCATTTACAATAAACAAAACTCTGCAATGCCAGCAGAGTAATTAGATAGGTCCAGGCAGCAGAAACTATAAAGGTTCAGTAAATTCTGCCAACCCCTTGCATATTTGTAGGCTGGGTAGGTCAGGGAAAAGTTGTCATTAATCTAAACTCTAGCTATTGTTTTGTGTTAGTGACACAACTCCTAATTACAGAAAAAACTCTAGGAACTTGATGAACATATCTGATATTTTAATAAAGTAAGGTGTATCATGAGAAAGGGACATGTGATAACACGTAACAGAAATGATAGGGCCTTGGGTGGTGCCTGTGGCTCAAAGCAGCAGGGTGCTGGTCCCATATGCTAGAGGTGGCAGGTTCAAACCCAGCCCCGGCCAAAAACTGCAAAAAAAATAAATAAATAAATAAAAAAAAATAACAATAATAGGGCCTTGTATTTTTTTTTTTTTTTTAAACACTTTTGCTTATAGTCTCTTCTGCAGTCCTCATGATATGCCAGTACAGAGAGGGCAGGTTTTACCTATGTCTTAGACACGAGAAAGCTCATTCTCAGAAAGCCTGCACATGTGCAAGGCTAAGCTAATAAGCAGCTGAGCTAGCCTCAAATCAGGTCACTTTGACAACAGTGATGACAAAGAGGAGGAAAATGACAGCAGCGTCATTTATGGAGATCTTACTATTTGCTAAGTACTGTCCTCACTACACAGTTGTACAGTACAGAGCTAACAACCCCCATGTGAAGCAAGCATCATGTTCTCCAATTCACAGAGGAGAAAACAAGGCTCAGAGAGACTAAAGAACTTGTTCTGAGACCAACAAGTGGCAAAGAGCAGAGTGGAAGTTTGAACTGAACTTTGACTCCAGCAACGGTGCCCTTGGCGCTGTGCCCTGCAGCAGCTTCTTGAGATGATGTCTGGAGCCAGGTGTTTAAGTATGTGTGCATTTAAAAAAGGTAACTGAGTAAGAACACTGAATGATGGAGATAAGTCGATCCTGCAACATTAACTTGAGAATCAAAGATCAGAAATGACAGAACATAGGTTTAAATACCAGGAGAGCCGGAAAAATTACACATTTTAAGAGATGTTACCTGTGTATTACTTTTCAAAGTGGAATTGAGTCATAACAGTAATGTGTAGTATGACATTCACTCAAAAAGATGGCATTAATCACATGAATGGTAGCATCACCATGCAATAGGCAGGACTAGGATAATTATTGCTTTTAAAATGTGTATACTTTTTTGGGCATCCTTGATGTACGTACATTAAAAAAGACATCTAAGTTAGAACGCTGAATGATAAAGGTAAGTTTCTACTGCAACATTAACTTGAGAATCAAATACTAGAAATTATAAAACACAGATACCCCACCGTTCCTCAGGAAGGTGTTTGTTAAATTCAATCCACCTAAAATGCTACGTATTTGAAAGTACCTTGGCATAAAGACAGCTGTCTGATAGCCTCATGAATGGACAGTATTTATCACACACAGGACACATGATGATGTCTGTAGCTCGGCAGACTTCTTTACTGGAAAAAGAGAACAGAAAAAAAGACGGCTTTTGGATGACATGAAAGATTTGTCTCCCTCCAACTTCGCCACAATGTTCAACTAGTAAATAAGATCCAGGAGACTGAATTTTTGTCCATAGAAGCTTCTTAGACTTATCTGCTATTAATGTAAACAACTTCCCACAAATCTTAATATGCTGATAAAACTGTTTATTTATAAGGCTGTTCCTCAGCTTTACATGTTAAGTTAAATACATAAAGTAAAACACTGGTTGTTAATATCCCCAATTATACAAAAGTCCTTCACATCATTTCATAGGTCTGAAGCAATTTCATACTGTATTATGGGAAGATACCTAAAAAGGCCTGTCTCCATCTCTATGTAAAATGATAAATTAAAACTCATATGGAAGAATAAACAAAAAGGAGTAAGGTTTTAGTCCTATCCTGGGAGAAAACTACATTCCCTTAATAATTTCACCAGAAAGTAAAATATTTTTGAAGGTGGCATGCTCACCACTTTTATTTTTGCAATCACTTTTAAAAAGGCACATCTATAATTCCACATCATTGTCCAGCCTTATAATAAGATCTCCAGGAATAACCTATATTCTGATAAGAAACTAAGATAATGCTTGTCAACAGTGAACCATTCTCGAGGCACTAGCTAGTTGGTAAGATGTCTTTCTGGGTTAGTTTAAAAGGTTTTTGTAAAAAACACATAATTCGTAAGAAAGGCTTGTTAGGTCACTCGTTTGCATTATCAAATGAAAGAAAGGTGAAAATGTCAGAAAGAGAGCACTTGCAGCCAGCAAACAAAAGCGATTTGTTCCATGGATATAAAGCAATTTGTTCCATGGATATATGGTGCTTTGTATGTGTGTAAACGTGACTTTTGCTTCCGTGGTAGGTAAAGACCACAGTGTCAAGGGCAACAGACAGAGAGAACCTTGTGAACTGAACTTTTCCATGAGGGAGTGGGAAGGAAGTCAGTGTAAAACAACTAAGTGTGTCTACAGTCTGTGAACATCCTCAGTGCACTAACAGCCGTCTCTAAGTAGTAGGCAAAGGCGGGCTCACCCAGGGGCTCCCCGTACCTGACTTGGCAGTGATCCAGAGTGGTGACTCCGTACAAAAAGACAAACAGTCCAATGAAAGCAGCTGGGAAGAGCATGCCGGTGTACCAGCCCAACCAGGCAAAATACAGCCCGATCTTCTCTCCGAAGTACCGCCTGTTAAAGACAACAGCCATGTAAATGATAGCGCAGTGTGTAAAGTTAAGTGTTACATTGTTGTGTTTGGTCACTTGGCTTTGTAGTGACCTTATTGGTAAACTGCGGATGAGGTGAGCCTAGAGAATGGAACATTTGGTCAAATTGAGGCTCTGGGCTTAAATTTTGACTTTTATTTCTATCGGAGCTAGAATTCGCCCTCCCATAAAAGAATGTGATTATACACAAGCTTATCCTGAGAATATAGAATGAATTGGAAGGGCCCTGACTGGAAAAAGGGAGACCAAGTAGAAGAAAGCTGTCATGGTCCAGGTAACAGGTGACGGCAGTGGAGATGCTGGGATGCTCTGAGATGCTGGAGTTTGGCCCGATTCAAGAATTAAAGAGGATGTACGATCTGCAGGCCGAGAACTGCGTGAGAGGGGAGGTCCCCCTCATCCTCCTCACTTGGCTGTGCTTCTCACACTGTCTTCTCACCCAACACAAATCCCACTGTTCTTCCAGGGCTCAGCTCCAGCCTTTCATGCATTTTTTTCTAAATCTGTGTAAAACTTATGGCCTCTGTCACACATTTTGCCTAATTATCCGTGGTCTTTTTTTTTCTAGATGTCTCAAGTATGCAGGACCTGTTGTCCCTAAAGGAAATGAATTTCTCGAAGCCAGAGAGCATGGCTTCTCCTTGTCTTTGCCAACAGTATTTAGCGCAGCTCTAGAAACACAGTGGACAATTAATTAATACTCATCAACTAGCCACAGAATCTTAATCAAAACACTGTCATGGACGGGAAATGTGTTGCCTGCAGCAATTATCTGTAACTTCTAATCAATGCCATTCTATAATATGGGGTAGAGGCTGGGAAGAGAATTTATTTATTCCCCCCCCCCCCACTGTTTATCACGTGTTGAATCTGGACAAAGGAAAATGATCTCATCTCAGAAAATTTTCTACTCACTCAGATCAGCTGGCTCATTTGTTACCAACACAGGGGCCATAATTCACCACTGTCCTTTGCAACATTGGGAAGAATCACTTGGTATTAATGCCAAGGCAACAAGGGCTCTGGTAGGAAGATCACTACCCAAGGGAATAAAATGTAAAGTGAGCTTCCCCCCACCTCCTCTGGGCTTATTTTTCTAGGGCCCTGATATAAGCAAAACACACCCAGATACTCTAGAAAATGCGACATCTCTTTAATAAGAAATCCATGAAGTGTGGGTTATTATCTAATCTTAATAACCAGTCTTAATAAACAATGAGATGTCAGAGCACAAGGCTGCCAAGGTAGAAAGCTGGACAGATTTAGACAGTTTAAAAAACAGCATACACTTTCACTCTACAATTATTGTAAGTTAAAGGTGTAGATAGACTTTTTGACATGTGGATTAAGAATAGCTTTAAAGGTTATCAATTTTAACTGGAAACTAAAATAAGCCTGCTATTTATTGGAATGACACTATCTTGTATGTCCTATTTGCGTGTATGGGAACTAATATTTTGTCAGTAACAGAGGTCAGTCACGTTACCTTTCTGCAAAATGATTTGTCAGTAATAGTCCCATGGATGATCTGCTCTTATGGAGTCTTGTGGGAGGCCTGGCTGATCTTATATGCCCCTCTCTGGGCCTCTTCCTAAGACCTTGTAGGGCAAACTCCACCTTCATCAGAGGAAGGGCAGGTTTACCAAGAACAATGGATGTCCTCTGATGAGTTGCCTTCTTGCAAAGAAGCCAGATGGGAGAGCTGGACACTTCAGACTCTCTCTGTTCTAAGGGTGGTTTGTCCCAGTTGATAGTCTGCCCTAATCATTTTGCACAGGTTTCATATTTGCTGCTGGTTAAACACTCACCTTACAAGATCCAAAGGCTGGTATTTATACCACACCCCCCAGGAGGCCCAGCACTCATAGAGGAGATGTCGGTGGTTTTCTGCTCCATGGGTTCGAATGGAGTTTTTACTTCTGTAACTTCCCTGGAATAGAGATGCCACAGTTGGTGAGGTGATACCCACAAAAGCCTTCAGGGAACGGTGGTGCTAGTCCCTTATGGCAGGAGTAGGGGGGATACGAGTAAGAAAGGATCATCTCTATGAAAGGGAAGGCAGTTGGATGAGTTGTGGCCATTGTCTTGTTGACCATGATGCCCGGTAAGAAGTTCCTGCTTACTAGAATCAAGCAGCTTTGAACCAAGTTCAAATTCAGTTCTGCTGCTTTTTACCTAGGAGACTCTTGGCAAGCCCTCTAAATGCTCTGAGCCTTGGTTTCCTAGTCTAAATGGAACTAATAACATTTGCCTCATTCGGTTTCTCCTGTGGTTTGAACAAGTAAAGTGGCCCAGAGGTCATGCCCAGGGCTCACTGGTTCTGCTCTTCCTCCTTTCAGGACAGGGTAGTTGGCAAATGTCCACAGCTGTAACCTAATCACGCTGCCTTATCTGCAGCCAAATCCTAGCTTGTAAGTGCTGGAAGTCACTTCTGAATTCTAATAATTCTAATTCAACTTCCTCATTGAACAAAGAAGGATACCAAGGGCCAGAGAGGTAGATGTTTTTCTGAGGCCAGTTTATGGCAAAGGGTAATTTCACAATCAGGAAAGGTACTTTCTGGAGCCAAATTATTCACAGGAACATGAAGAGTCCTTTCCTGATGGAAAGAACACAGGGCTGGGAGTCAAGAAACTCAGGTTGGTCTCAGCTCAACCACCAACTCAGTATGATTCAGAGGAGCTTTAACCTTTTTCTAAACTCCTATTTAAATTTTTAACACGAAACAAGGGCAACAGTATCTGCCCTTCCTGCCTTCCTGCCTCTGTAGGTTGTTATGAGATTAAATAATATAATCAAGTTAAACGGAGAGTAAAAAGTCAAAAGAACAATGACGCTACTATTGCGGCTGCTATTCCTCATTTAAAATTTCTCTTCTTGTAGAATATAGAGCTTTGTTGAGATGGGAAAGTCACAGAGAAGGCCCTGGGCTTCTGGGATTTTGTAGCTGTGTCTCTATAGACACTCTCATTTCCACCCACCTCCCTGCACAGATGCTTCCACCTCTTGTCACTGCTTGGACACTGTCCCTACCATGGCTATACCAATGAGTCATTGTCATTTTCACCAATACCCTTTCTGGGCAAGGCCAACTAATTGCTACAGGAAGCCACGTGACATTTTGGGGGGAGGGAGGAGAATCTATCTTTAAAGTTTAGAAATACCTGTTTGTGGCTCTAGCAACCCTTTGTGTCAAAATGTTTGCTTGGGTGAGTAAAGGAGTACTACAAAAATGTTTCTCGTGGTCCCTCAACAGGGTCTCAGGCCACAGTGTCTAGTTTTCTTAATAAATAAGATTTTAAAAGCCTACCTCACCTGTCGCACCCTCTTGGTGTTTAGAATCAAGAGAATAAACATTGCCTGTCTAACAAAAAGTATGTTTTGGAAGACTTGGCAACTTAGAGAGTTGGCACTAGCCTGTGATATGTTTCCTGATCAATTGTTATCCTTGTTTCCAATAGAAGACTGTTCTGAAGATCACTCTGACTGTAGCTTCACCCTGGCTGGTTTGTGAGGTCCCGGAGGACAGGGGATGTGACGCTGATCTTTGTATGCTCTGTGTCATATAGTAACCAGAGGAGGGGCGCAGTGCCATAAAAACAATAATCATCTCTCAACCACCATGAGGATCATGTTCCAGAAAACCAACGAACGTGTAGGGGGATTCGGGGTTAAACAATCCAAGGTCTTTTGGGGAAAACAGTTAAGGGCAGTCACAGCCACATATATGAAAGTCATTGTATGTGACAAAGACCAGGTAGGAAAAAAAGATCAACATTTATACATCTTAGGTGAACAGTGAATACAAAGCTATTCATTTCCATTTAATCACCTTTGGTTACCAAGGGCTGTGCAAGATGACTACCCTTCCCCTCTTTCAAGGAATAGCTATAAACTAATTTTTTGCAAAGACTATAAATATATATATTCAGAACCTTTTCCCCCTGGGTCTGGTGTTTCATGCAAATTTTCATTGCCTTTTAAATTTTATGCCTTAAATTCCCTAGACTGTTGTTCTGAATTCATGCTGAGTGACTCTTTTCCCCCAACTTTTTTTATTGTTTGGGATTTATGCTGAGTGACTCTTGATGTAAGTATTCTTGCAATTACAAAAAAAAAAAAAAAAAAAGACATGTAGAAATAAATCTATATTGAGGAAGAGATAGATGTAGCAGGGCAAGTAGACTCCTCCCTAATTGCCCACTGAATGTATTAAATACATTCTGAACGAAGACATATCAACAGATTCAGTTCAGGCTGATCCTTAGAAGCTGATTTTAGTAACAAAACATTGAAAAAAGGGAAAGACTAAAGGCAACACAGTACCTCATGCAAGGGAAATGCAGCTTCATAGGAGCCATTGGTAAGCAAACGATTCAGACCTAGAACAACAAATTAGTCCATTTGAATTAACACTGAGTTTCAATCCTCACAATACTTAAGACAAATGTACGGGTGGTACTTTTTGGAGAAAACAATCTAGGCTCTCACAAGTGATTTATACCCATGTGGGATACCAACTAATTAGAAGGAAAGCTTTGCTACCAAGGGCTGGGCAATCAGTTTTTCTTTTCTTTTATCAAATTTTAAGACATTTAATTATTAAACAAAGATCAAATATATTCAAGGCATACAGTGTGATGATTTGAGATACATACACATGGTATAATTATTACCGTAGTCAAAGTGACACATCCGTCACCACCCAGGCTGTATGTTACACCCCCAAGGCTTATTCATTTTGTAACTAAAACTTTCTGCCCTTGACCAGCAGCTCTCCATTTCCCCATCCTCAGCCCCTGGCAACCACCATTCTATTCCTCCGCTTCTGAGAGTTTCACTTTTTAGATTCTACATACAAAGCAGACCGCACAGTATTTGTCTTTCTGTGTCTGATGTATTTCATTTAGCCTGATAGCCTTCAAGTTTACCTTGCAAACAGCTTCTTTTTATGGCCGAGTAATATTCTACTGTAGATATGCACCACAATGTCTAACCCTTTCACCCACGGGTGGGCACTTAGTTTCTTCCCATATCTTGGTTACCGAGAATAATGCTGTCATCCACATGGGAATGAAGATGCTTCTTCCAGATACTGATTTCATTTCTTTTGGATATGTACACAGAAGAGGGATTGCTGGATCATATGGTAGTTCCATTTGAATCTTTTGAGAAATCTCCATACTGCTTTTCAGAATGGCTGTACCAACTTACATGCCTACCAACAGTGACAAGAGTTCCCTTTTCTCCATAGTGAAGACCTCACTGTCATTTTGATTTGTATTTCTCTGATGATTCACGAGCACCATTTTATATATCTCTTGGCCTTTGGTACGTTTTCTTTAGAAAAAATATGTAAGTCCTTTTCCCATTTTAAAATCAGGTTATTTGTTTGCTATGGAGTTGTATATGTTCCTTACGTATTTTGAGTATTGCCCTTTTATCAGATACATGGTTTGCAAAGATTTTCTACCACTCTGTAGGTGGTCTTTTTATTTTGTGGATTGTAATATTCACTGTGTGGAAGAAACATGGAAATCAAGCTTTCAAACAGAAAAACAATGAAGCACATCCAGCCCAGGGGGTGGCACAGAGGAAAATATATACTGAGCTTTTCTGCCAGGAGCTCTTCTGTTTTCATCCAAAGCTTTCCTAGGGACAAACCTAATTTCTGTACATTGGACTAGTGGAATAGCTTTGGAAAAGTTCTCTCTTGTCCTCAGTCCTCAATTTTCTCATCCATGAAATAGCGTGTGGGTGGGAAAGGGATTTAGGGATCTTTTGGAAAAGCAGCTTGATTGAAGTTTAACTGACATATAATGAACAGATTTGAGATGTACAATTGGAAATGTCTCAACATACTTACACATTCACGCGACCATCAGCACAATTAAGAGAAACACATCCATCACCCCCAAAGTTGTGTCTCCCCACTTTGTAGCCCACCACTTTTCCTCATGCCATCTCCACTGCAGCCACTGATCTGCTTTCTGGCACTATTAATTAGTTTGCACTTCCTAGAGCTTTATACAGACGGAATCATATAGTACGCACTCTTTTTTATAATCTAATTTCTTTCGCTTAGCATAATTATTTTGAGATTCATGTATCCTGCTGTAAATATCAGCCCCTCATTTCTTCTTATTGTTGAGTGTCGTGTGCCATCATACGGATGCAGAATTTAACAATTTGTTTATCTAGTCTCCTGATGATGGACATTCTGGTTCTTTACAGTTTGGGGCTATTACAACTTAAGCTGTTATGAGCATTTATGTACAAAAGTTTGTATGAATATATGCTTTCGTTTTTTTGTGTTTAGTAAATGCCTAGAAGTAGAATGGCTAGAAGCCTAGATCAGATGGTAGACGTATGTTTAAATTTTTGCAAAATCGCCAAACTGTTTTCTTAAGGACTTGTATAATTTAACACTTCCCTGAGCGGTGTAGAAAAATTCAAGTTCCTCCGTATTTTTGCCAACACTTGGTATGGTCAGTCTTACACTTTAGCCATTCTAATAGGTGTGCAGTAATATCTCACTGTGGTCTTAATTTGCATTTTCCTAATAAATAATAACATTGACAAATATCCTCATGTGGTATTTACCACCTGTATATTTTCTCCTGTGAAATGTCTATTCAAATCTTATGAACAAAAAGGATTTTTTAAATTATTGGGTTTTGAGTGTTCTTTCTATATTCTAGATGTAGGTCCTATACTAGATACATCCTTTGAACCTCTTTTTCTAGTATACAGCTTCTCTTTTCATTATCTTAGAAATGCCATTTGAAGAGGGAAGTTTTAATTTTGAAGTTCAGTCTCTCCATTTTTTTCTTTTATGAATGGCACTTTTAGTGTCGTGTTGAAGAATTCCTTGACTAAAGTAACAACGTCAAGCTAACAAAGATTTTGTTCTGTTTTCTCTTAAAATTTTTATAGTTTTTTTTTTTTTTTTTTTAATGTATTTTAGGCCAGGCACAGTGGCTCACGCCTGTAATCCTAGCACTCTGGGAGGCTGAGGTGGGTGGATTGCCTGAGCTCATCAGTTCGAGACCAGCCTGAGCAAGAGTGAGACTCTGTCTCTAAAAAAAAATAGCTGGACATTGTGGCAGGTACTTGTAGTTCCAGCTACTCAGGAGGTTGGGGCAAGAGAATCACTTGAGCCCAAGAGTTTGAGGTTGCTGTGAGCTATGATGCCAAGGCATTCTACCCAGGGCAACAAAGTGAGACTCTTGTCTCCAAAAAAAAAAAAAAAATCATTTCAGATTAATAGGGTAAAAATAAGGTTGTATAGTTTTAATTTATATTTAGATCTATAATCCACTTGAGTTCACTTTTGTATATGCGTCTGTCCAAGTTTATTTTTTGCATATGGATGTGAATTTTTCTAGCATCATTTGTTGAGAAGTCGATACATTAACCAATAAATTGACTTTGAGCCTTTATTAAAAATCAGCTGTCAATATATGTGTGGGTCTACTTCTGGATTCTTTATCCTGTGCCACTGATCATCACACCAGTACCATAGTGTCTTAGCTACTGTAGGTTTATGATAATTCTTGAAATCAGGTAGTGTTAGCCCTGTAGCTTCGTTCTTTTTCAAAGTTATTTTGGCTATTCTAGGTCCTTTCACTTCCCTCTGTATTTTTGAATCAGTCTGTTGATTTTCACACATACATGTGCACACACCCTCTGCGAGTTTGATTCGCTTAGATGGATCTGCAGGCCAATTTGGGGAGAAGACAACAATGGTCAGTCTTCTGACTCACAAGTGAGGTTTATCTCTTCATTTTTTAAGTCTTCTTAAATTTTTCTCTGTACTATTTTATAGTTTTTAGTGTATAAGTCTTGGATATCTTTTGTCTGATTTATCCCTAAGCATTGTGGGTTGTTTGTTTCTTTTGTCTTGTTTTGTAGACAGTCTCTCTCTGTCTACTGCCATGGCCTCAGCCTAGCTCACAGCAACTTCAGGCTCCTAGATTCAAGGGATCCTCCCACTTCATCCTCCTGAGTAGCTGGGACTACAGGCATCTGCACCACAATGCCTGGCTAAGTTTTTTTTTTATGTTTAGTAGAGACAGGGTCTCGCTCTTGCTCAGGCTGCTCTGGATCTCCCAAGATCAAGTGATTCTTCCCCGTTGGCCTCTGAGAGTGCTAGGATTACAGGTGTCAGTCACCACGCCCAACTGTGACTGGGATTGCTTATGTTTCGATTCTTCCTGGTGGCCTTAGTAATTTCACTTTTACGATTTGCTTTATAGTGTGTTCATGATACAATGTTAAATGAAAAAAAGTATGACAAAAAGGTATATATAGCACATCCTAAGTTTGTTTAAAAAAATATGAATGGATAAGAAATTAATATAAAAAAGTAACCAAGGTAATATTTAAATTATTTAGTATACAAATGTTAACAGTCATTCTCTTTACATCATTGAAAAAATATGAAAAGATAACAAAAGAAGAATTGTCCATGATTAATTATCAAATGGACATCTCCAATATAGTTGCCATAGGACTTCAGAAAAGGGAAGATTTTTTTCAGGCTGGAAGGGTCACAGAGGACTTCATGGAGAAGCTGTGCCTTAAGGATGGATGACTAATGCTGAGAACATGAGGATGTGTTCAACTATGACTCCATGCAGGTTAAGGAAGACCTAACTCATGCTCAACGTCACCATACCCACCTAGCTTGACTCTCACTAAACGTAATATCCCATTGTCATCCGATCTGAAGGAGACAGCTATCTATTTCTCCCTATTATATTTTAACTTGTGCAGCACGGGGTCAAAGCAGATTTCTTTTGGCAGCTTCATCATGCTGATGACTCACCCTGAGCTTGCGTTCAACTCTACTCTCCAATCTGTTCCTCTCATGATGTTGAGCAACATTTCTCCTACACGATACCAAGATAGTTGTTCCGCTGAACTTGAACATAAGGCTTTCCCTTTGCATATTATTAAATGCCATCATCTTGCTGGGCCGAGAGTTCTGAACCACTGAGTTCTTTTAGCTTTCTTACTCCATTGGCTGACACTTTTGATACATCCTTCAGACCTCTCCCCGCCTAAAAGCTCGATGAGCAGGTCTTTGTGCCTAATATTAATTTCCCCTCAGCTCCAAATGGACCCTCATTGCTTTCTTCGCAATAATGCAGCTGGATCTTGTAAATATTTCTCCTTTGCCAGCTGGTCCACTGTTAAGCTTTGTCAGCCCTGGAGGTATGCTGGAGGAGGAAAAGGGCTTCCTCTTTCTGACTCTAAAGCAGCCTTCTGAAGTATCCAGCAGCTGCAATGTGTGGTGGCCAGCAATGTGTGGCACTCTTGAAAAGCAGATTTCTGGGATCCCCCTGGATGGCTTCACAGAACAGTATTCCTGGTACAGCACCTCCCAGTGAATGACTCCTTGGTGCCTCTCCAGGCAGCTTCCCCTGGTACCCTGGGGGGCAGATTCCCAGAGTTCCTAGCAAACATCTCTGCCTCATCTGTACCCCTTCCAGTAGGACCCACAGCTCAGCCTGATTGGGAAGGGTGTTGGTTCTTCCCAGGGGTGGTCACTGCTCCTAGTATCAGCTCTTTCTCCCTATATTCCTTAGAATTACTCTTACTCTTCACCAGCCAGTCCTCCATTACCCCAATCCCCAGCTACAGTTAATTATTTAGATTAAACTTTACCTGCTCAAATTATTTGTGCTTTTGCCACCTGATTGGACACTGACTGATGTAGGTCACTATTAAAACTATCAAGAAAAATCTTGCTGGGAAAAGAAATGAGGACAAATCTACCCAAACTTTCCTGATAGATAGTAATCTGTTTCATAAAGCAGGACATTTGAAAATATAACATGGAAAGGTTCTCATCAAAATGCCTAAACTATAAGTGGTGGGAGCTATAATGGGAGAGATGATGGCGGAGCCTTTTCTCATGTGTAACAGCTCATCTCTGGAGCATCCCTGCCCTCCATCTTCCCATGCTAGTTACCCATCAGTCAAGTCTCAAAGTCCTGGTTCTCAGCAATGCTTTCCCTGCTCACCAAACCTTAGTTAGCCTGAACTCACTCTCACTCTTCACCAGTCTATCTCTGTAATGTGACTCATTTTAATTTCTTTATGTTCCTTATCGTATTTACTGATTTGTTTATTGACTGCTTTTAACTTCTTGAACATAATAAGCTCTAGGAGAAAACTATGCTTCTCTCCCCAATGTCTAGCTCAGTGCCTGGCACACCATGGACACTCCATAAATATTTGTTGAAATGAGGGAATTTCTCTATGATCTTAGATAAATGAGATGGCATGCTATAGAATATATTTATGGACACTATGAAGATTTTATACTCATGAATTATTCATCAAGGGAGTACAGGCTTTTTAAATGACAACCATGTCTAGAATCAAGACATATATAATGAAACCACGGGAAGAAATCTCTAATCCCTCAAATACTACCCATTGTTTGTTATACCGATGTATTACTTACCGATTTTGTTTTTTCCTTCTTCATACTTTATTCTTTGTAAAATATGATGCACAATTCTACTCCTTGTGGCATTGTTGAAGAACGTGTCTTTGTTGTGGATGATGAAGCTGCACACACATATGAAAAACACAAGTTGAGAATTAACTGGAGGTGAGGGATCTACTCTCTGTTATAACCTGGTGGTGCTCAGATGCAGCGATCTTCATTCAGCCAGAGAGAAGGTGTGTCCGGCACAGCATTGGAGAGTCCAGAACTCACACCAGAGTAGGAGGCTCAGGAGCCTGAGTGGTTTCAGTTCTCAGAAACCTGAGCACTAACATCAGTATGTCAGCAAAGATCTGGAGCTAAATAAAACTAAGAAACCTTAAATAAACTAATCTCAAGTCGAGGTCTCCTATCTATTTTTGGGTGGAAGCCCATTAGATAAATTCAACTAAATTTTTTTTGTTTTGATCTCCTTTTGTCTCCCTCTTCTCCCCCTGCCACATGATGACTAAGTAGATTTTCAGAAATTTAAAGACCTGAAACTGATTCAGATGGTACATATAAGAATTAGTAAAAGAGCTCTGGCTGCTGGGTGAGGTGTGGGTCAGTCTTTGGAAATCATCTCCATCTCTTCCTTTCCTATATTCTTTCCTGTCTGGAACCCTTCTTCTAAAGTACACACTTCAGATTGCTTTCTCTGTCAGCCAGTGGCTGAGCCAGTCTTTGAAGTTGGTTAAGGACCAGCGTGCACGCGCACACACAAACACACACACACATACACACGCATGCACTCTGGGCTTTCCAGCAGGTGTCCTACTGAGAAGCACCAGAAAGAGTTTCCAGGGCTACATAATCCAGCTCGTAGTGCCCATGTCTCCCCTTCCCAGGAACATGATAGATGGTAGAGTAATAGAGATGCTATAAGTATAATTGCTTCATAAATTGTAAAGTTTATCAACTCAGCAAACTTCTTTTGCATACCTCTTATAAGTCAGGCACCACACAAAAGCATATAAATGTTGGTAGCCATCACCCCCCAAAACCCAGCTCAGGAGTCACCATTCCAGCAAGGCTTCCCACCCCTCCATCTGTTCTCCTGTCTGCAAAAGAATCCAGGAGTCCCTTCTCTGTGCTATTTCTTCTCTTGGAAGAGCATCAATTTACTAACCATTCTGTGTTGCCATTTATTTGTTCATAAAATGTTTACTGAGTCTACTCTGTAGGGCGTTGATTATACAGTGGTAAACAAAACAGATAAAACCTTTGTCCTTGAGCAGCTTACCGTCTAGTGTAGACAAGGCATAAAGGAAATGAGCATGATCGTACGGCAGCGAAGGGCAGAATCAACACCCTTTTGTGTGCCTTTTCTCCCACTTCAGACCATCAGCTCATTCAGGACAAAAGGCTGAATAATAACTTCTGTAGCCCTAAGACTTAGTATATGGCAGGTACAAAGGTGTGTGAGGGTCTTGGGTATTTATATTGGGCAAGTTACTATTAAATGTTTTTCTTCAAGAAGATGAATTCTAAGGAGTTGTTCAAATGATGAGGGGAAGAGATGAACTCGGTCTAGAGAAAGCGTGGGCCAGGTGAGGAGTTTAATTTATCCAAAAGGGTTGGAATGTGAGTTTGGGATAACAGATGAAGGAAAGAAAGGCCAGAGAATATAGAGATAAAAAGTAAATCATGTGAACTGATTTCTTTCTTTCTTTTTTTTTTTTTGAGACAGGAGCCTCAAGCTGTCCCCTTGGGTAGAGTGCCATGGCATCTCTTACAGCAACCTCCAACTCCTGGGCCCAAGTGAGTTTCCTGCCTCAGCCTCCCAAGTAGCTGGGACCACAGGTGCCCGCCACAACGCCCAGCTATTCTTTGGTTGCAGCCATCATTGTTGTTTGGTGGACCCAGGCTGGATTCGAACCCGCCACCTTGGGTGTACACAGCTGATGCCTTGGCCACTTGAGCCACAGGTGCTGAGCTGTAAACTGATTTCTTGAAGTATTTTCCACCCTATTTTATTTCTCTTGGATTCTCTTACAGAAGATTGCTCTTGGAAGAAAGTGACTTGAGCTGGTGGATGAGAGGTAAATGCCACATGGGTAAATGAGGAAGCTGCACCACTTATCCACTATTTTCTCTTGGATTTTCTGAAAACATTTTATAGCATCAAGGAAGAGGGAAAAAAAACCAAGAGTCACATCAAATGGGATGCTTTGTATTTTATCCTCTGCTTTTTCACCCGGTTTGAGACAGGCCATTACACTTTAATACCAAGGAAAGGTGTCATAAAGAAATAGATCACAAATAAAAAGCCCATTTTGAGTCACAATTCTAGATGATAACTGAAAGCTGATAAGCATGACCGTGCTTGATGAGAAAATTCAAGGCTAAAAGCCCACATCTCTCCTCCACGAAATGGTTTTCTGCTTCCTCCTCTCTTTACAGCCCCACATTACCCTCTCTGAACACACATAATAGTTCTCTATAATAAGCACCAGGGACAAGCTTCACATTTCTGTTTCCCCCTTCCTTTCATGTAGGGCATCCCCGGAGCCTGGAGATTCTATAGTGGGAGCAGACATATGGGGTGTGTGTCATGTGCTTTTTTAAACACACTGAATACATGAACTCACTCAATCCCTATAATAACCTACAAGGTAAGTACTTATTAGGTATGTTGTACAGGTGAAGAATCGGAGAGGTTAAGTGATGTGCCCAAAGTTACCCAGCTAAAAAGGAGCAAAGCCAGGATTTGAACTCGGGCAGTCTGGCTCCAGAGGCTGCCCACACAGCCACTCTGCCTGCCTGCCTGCCTGCCTTCCTCTCTACGGCAGCAAATTTCTGACCTCTGAAGGTGGGTCTCCTGGGGGGTCAGCCCAAGACTTCCCCTTTCCAGCAAGCTTATTTCATTTCATCCTTTAACCCTCAGCTAAAGCCATGTCTCCCCCCCAGGTTTGACTTGATGCCCCCCCACAACCGTCACCATGAAATCCTTTTGTGTGGTGCCATAGGGAAGGAAGCAGAACCCCCCTGAGTGGAGGGGAAGAAAAAATAGCTTTTAGCTCTGTGTGTGCTCAGCATCACCTCGGCTTTTGCTAAAGACTCTCAGATCAGACAGACCTCAGTGTGTACCCCAGCTTTGCCATTTACGAAGTAGTGTTGGGGCCATCCCTCAAATTTTCTCAGTCTTGGTTCCCTCACCTGTGAAATGGTGATAACGCTGTAATAAGTCTCATAATAACAAGAAAATAAAATATTTGTTATTGTAAGTCAGTAAGTTTTATAGTGGATTGTTGTGTAGCCATAGAAAACCAATATACTCATCTTTAATGGCTGAAATCGTATTATTTCATCATATAAGAAGAAAAGTGAAGGTTAATGCTTTCAAATAAATATTTCAGGAAACCTTCTTAATTAGATTTTTAAATAGGTATTTCTTTTCTAACAAGGAGAAGCAAAGGTGATACAGTTAACTGTCACTTAAATTATGTCCTCAAATTAATGACAATCTAAGTAGGAACAAAGCAACCAATTAATTTTTATGTAACAAGGCCTATTTTGAGAGTTTTCTGGGCTTCAGGCAAATGCAGTGCGGTAACTAACTTCTTATCTTCAGCACACTTGCTATGAGTAAAAGAATGATAAGATTATCAGATCAAATATATAATATGAAAGTTCTGACAGCTTGGTAAATATATTCAAGCCTCTTTTTTGTGTTAAAATGATAAAGTTACTGGAATATAAAGCAATGTTAGACATTTTCCCTATTCAAAAGGTCATTTATAACTCAGGCTCCAGAACATTGGTACCTAGGCCTTGACTTTTCAGGATAGAGACTGGCAGGAATTTCCCTGGGGAATATAACCAGTCTACGATTAAAGATCTAAAGACGGTGACATTGGAGAGTCTAAAATGCAAACACCTAGCTGCCCTACAATGAGGCCCATCGTTGACAGGACCCACCTATTACTGAGAATTTCTACTCAAGTTTTATATTTCCTGTTCTTAAAGATAGACAGTCAGTCAAAGACTGGTTGGTATCTGCGGAAATCTATGAACATAAAAGTATGAGAAAAACACAAAGAGACAAAAACAGAAAAAAAAACGTGTTAGAGAAAATTAGGCTACATGAAGTGATAAAACATTAACAAAGTCATTATGCTTGGAGAGTTGAGACGATACTATAACGATAAAAGAAAGCTCCAGATATGTTTAAAACTTCAGGTTATGAAAATAAAATATTATTGTAATTTAAAATATCATAAAAGTGAAAGCAGAAATGTAAAACTCAGTAGAGTCATTTGCATACAAGTTGAGGGAATCTTCAAGAAAAATAACTTTAGGAGATCTCCCAGGACAAAAAGATGTGGATTATCAAAGAGGAAAGGAAGATAATGTTATATGAGCTCAGGAAGTCCAATATCTAGAAAAAGGAAAGACAGAAAAAAGGAGCACATCATTTGAAAAATTCAAGAGTTAATCAAGAAAATTACCTTGATCTAAAAGGTTCACTGAGTATCTGGCAAAACAAATATAAACATAGAGCAACATGAAGATATGTTACTGTGATATTTGAGAGCACTAGAGACAAAGAGACAATCATCTAAGCTTCTATAAGGAGAAAAATTACATAGAATTGGAGGTGTCTGTGGCTCAAAGGGGTAGGGCACTGGCCCCATATGCCAGAGGTGGAGGGTTCAAACCCAGCCCCAGCTAAAAACTAGAAAAATAAAAATTACATAGAATTTAGAATTGCAATGTTTTGAAATTCTCAGCAGCAATATTGAATTTCAGAAATTAAAGGACTAAGACCTTCAAAATCCTGAGGGAGATTCTAGAATTCTGGGTACAGAATTCTATACCCAGCCAAACTGTCATAATGTGTGAAGTACAATAAATGTATATTAGTTTGCGAGGGCTGCCATAACAAACAGTACAAACTAAGGGGCTTAAACAACACAAATTTATTTTCTCATAGTCCTGAAGGTTGAAAGCCCAACATCCAAGGAGTCAGCCGAGCTGTTATCCTCTGAGCCCTCTGCCCTTGACTTGCAGATAGCTGCCTTTTCCATGTGAATTCACATCATCTTCTCTCTGTATGGGGCTGTGTCCTAATTTCCTCTTC